CAGAAAGGCTGGCTACTCCAATCCCCTCTGGAGCCTACACTTTCTACTTGGGGATGAGAGAAGCCCCCATCTTCACTGAGTTTAAGGTCTAGTTATGGAGACAAGACTTAAAAGGCAAATTTGCTCTCTTTGCTTCTACTACTGGATTACATAGTGAGTTTACTGAAAATAAATACCAGAGGGTGTTCTGTTCAGAAATATCTAACGAGTTGAATCAGGAGAACAGTAGAAAAACTCCAAATGAAGGACATTCTACAAAATAACCAAGCTGTACTGTGACAATGGCAAGCTCATCAACAAGAAGAGACTGAGAAAGCAGCCCCGTCAGAGCAGCACGATGGCCACATACAATGTAAGGACCAGACCTTCTCCTTACAGAGAACTCTGCAGCGCTGGGAATAGGAATACCACAAGAAGGTTATTTTTATCGATATCAATTCTTTTTGATATTTTGATTTTGACAACTGTGCTGACAGGATGTAAGAAAGTGTGGGCTGAGTGTGTTGCTCAGTGCTCCTGAGGCCCTCTCTAAGTGTAGAAAAAAAGTTCCCCAAATACAAACAAACCCTTGTTTTAAAAGAAACAACACCCCCCCACAGGAGAGTAAAGAATCACTATGAGTACAACCTTAAAATGATTCAGAAAAATTTACCTATATCTTCGTATATAATTATCTATCTATCTATCTATCTATCTATCTATCTATCTATCCATCCATCCATCCATCCATCCATCCATCCATCCATCCATCCATCTATCTCCACACACACAACCACTGTGATAAAATGTTAGTAGCTGGGGTCTGATAGAAAGCTTTTTAGAACTTGTTATATGATTTCTAAAACTGGGCCATAATAAAGGGGGGAGTTAGGAAATGGACAGGCCTCTGGATCATTTCTTCATCAGGAGTGCTTGCTGCGAAAACACACAAACCATGGCTCTGATATGCACACCTTCCTTATATACATATATTTCAACAGAAAGTCTTGAAGGGGGGGAGGCTGGAACTCACGAAAGCTCGTTCCCATGAAGCTCGCCTCTGTGGCCCACAAGCAGGTGCCCGTGCTGATGTGCAGCCCAGCACACGGGACAGAGCAGGTGCTGAGAGGAAGAGGTGCCCCCCACCCCCGCCCTCTGCCCTCCTGGGTGCTCCGCCCACCACTCTCTTTGCAGAGCTTCCCTCAGGTCTGCTGGGAGCAGCCAGGCTCTCAGCCTGGGACGGGGACCCAGGGGACCCCCAGCTACCCTGAAGCGAATGAGAAACTAGAGACAGGAACTGTGATTGTGATGCTGTCACTGGGATATGCAAATAAAATATAGAGGATGGGCCTATCTGCCTAATATTCCTGCCAATTCATTCTCTGGGTGTGATTAAAATGAGCAATAAATTCCTCGTGAGTCTCAGTGGAGTGAGGATCGGGAGAGGAGCTGCGGCTGGCATGCGCGCGTCCCCCTCAGCTGAATATTCATCATGGGATAGCGCCCCATATTTTTGTTTTATCTGCCATCATGTGCACAGAGATATATTTCTACCTCTCTTTCATCTCTTAGTTAGGACATGAAAATGGTCTAGGCGCTAAGTATTAAACTCTCATTGTACTGAAATCATTCAAAGTGAGATCTAGGCTAACCCGTTCTATGAAGCCTACCCTGCCCATTCTGCCAGGAGTCTGGCAAGCCCCACTTTCCTAGAGACACCCCACCTCCACGACTCTGCATCCTTCCCGAGGCAAGGCACCTGTCAGTTCTCTCGACTGTGGAGCCTGTCTCTCCCACAGTAGGACAACAAGCTAGAGACAGTGGCTGGGCCTCTCCCACTGTGGGTCTCTCCAGGGATCAAAGCTTAGGCCTAGGGGCTGCAGAAAGACCCTCATTACGAGAAGATCATTCGGTCCAGTTAAGGTGACAGTCTGAAAACCATGATTAGGATTATGGATAATTTTAAATATGCAGAAATCACGAATAGTAAGGGAGAAGGGTAACACACATGGCTGGCGGGTGAAGACAGGATACAGCAGGGACATGGCAGCGGCATCTACCCCACCCCTCCCTCTCACTGTCCCATTAGATGAAGAAATGCAACACCACAAGTCCTGTGTCTTTAAAGTCACACTTTTGGGGGAATTCTGGGTTGACATATAAGACATATATAAAGAGAGCTGGCTGTGGTCTGTACAGTACCATCGAGGTACATCTGTTTAAAATACTGACAACTTGATTTCCTGTGTGTCACTTCCTTCTTTTTTTTTTTATTTATTAAATTAAAAAAAAATACCAATCCAAGTTCCCACTCTCTCCCCTCCTCCCATTCCCTCCCCTCATACCCACCCATCTAATCCTCAGACAGGGTAAGGCACATTGGCACATTGCCTTGTGGAAGGTCCAAGGCCCTCCATACTATATTTAGGCTGAGCAAGGTATCCATCCAAACAGAATAGGATTTCAAAAAGCCAGTACATGCAATAGGGATAAATCCTGGTTCCACTGCCAGTGGCCCCTCAGTCTTCCCCAGCCATACAACTGTCACCCACATTCACAGGAACTAGTTTGGACCTATGCTTGTTCCTTCACAGTTTGGCAGGAGTTGGTGAGCTCCCATTAGCTCAGGTAAACTGTTTCAGTGGGTGAACCCATCATGGTCCTGACCTCTTTGCTCATATTCTCACTCCTCCAACTCTTCAACTGGACTTTGGGAGCTCAGTCCAGTGCTCCACTGCGGGTCTCTACCTCTGCCTCCATCAGCTGCTGGACGAAGGTTCTATGGTGATATTTAAGATAATCATCAGTCTGACTACAGGGCAAGGCCAGTTTGGGCACCCTCTCCTCTACTGCTTAGGGTCTTGGCTGGGGTCATCCTTGCGGATTCCTGGGAATTTCTCTAGAGCCAGGTTTCTGCTAACCCTATAATAGCTCCCCACTTCCTTCTTTCTGGCCTATTCAGTTTTCCCATCTGTGAGATAAGAGTATTATGAGCAACCGTACACGTTTGCTACAGGAATAGAGAAAGTATGTTACCATGCAGCACAGTGGGAATAGCAATACAAGCAGCACTTATCCAGAGGCAGGATACTTTTACTTGAGATTGGGCTTAGTTGACCTCTCTTCCAGAAGCCTTTCTTGAGTAGTCAAGGCACTGATTCATTTGCCTGTCTGCCTGTCAGACTATGAGCTCTTGGGTTCAGTGCAGGAGGAACAGAAGGGGAGCAAGACAAAGTCAGAGAAGTAGTAACTCACGTTGTGCTGGACAGTTTGTGTACACTGGACACAGGCTGGGGTCATCTGAGAGGAGGGAACCTCAATTAGGAAACTGCTTCCAAAAGATTGGGCTATATGCCAGGCCATGATGCTGCACACCTTTAAAACCTCAGCACTCGGGAGGCAGAGGCAGGCAGATCTCTGAGTTCTAGGCTAGCCTGGTCTACAGAGAGAGTTCCAGGGCAGCCAGGGCTACACAGAGAAACCCAGTCTTGAAAAAAACAAAAAAACAAGCAAACAAAAAGATGGGGCTGTAGGTTAGCCTGTAAGGCATTTTCTTAATTAGTGGTTGATGGATGAAGGTCCTACCCTGGTGGGGCCTGAACTCTGAGGGGCAGCTACTACTTACTACTGGCAGAGAAAGATGAAGCTCAGGTCAAAAATAGAACTTTCCCATAAAATTCTGCCTTAAAGAGCTAGTTTTTTTTTTTTTTAAGATTTATTTATTTATTGTGTATACAGTATTCTGCCTACATGCATGCCTGCAGACCAGAAGAGGGCACCAGATCTCATTACAAATGGTTGTAAGCCACCATGTGGTTGCTGGGAATTGAACTCAGGGCCTTTAGAGAGCAAGGAGAGATGGAACAGCCAAGCCGAGGAAACACAGACAGCACAATGAGTGGAGACGCTGAGGGCACCTGGTACTAGATTAATAAAACTGTCGTCACCTCCCTCAGGTGACCTTTGGTAGCTCTAACGACCTGTGCTGACACTAAGATGCTTGTCCCCTTTGAGAGAAACCTTGGCACCACCAGCACCAGGACTATGTCACACACCTGACACACCACAGGTGTTTTTGGCCTACAGAGAAGATGATGGGTACAGTTCCTGGGGCTCTCTGGAGCCAGCAGGGATTTCATCAAGGTATGTGGGGAAGCTGGCCTGAATGGCAGTGCAGCTGTTTCTAGGGGCGAAGAATCTGAGCCCAGGGAGGGAAGCAACAGCCTCTTGAATTTAGTAACTTTTTTTGGTCCCAAGAGCCCACTGGGACGGGCTGTGAAAAGCTGGCTGTCATTTCTTAACTCATCTCTTCTCTCAAGAAATTATCCTAGGACAACTAAGAGACACCCTTTCCGTGGCGAGGCTCATCACTGAGTTGTTCCAGCTCTCCTATGAATAAGGCAGGATTACTTTTTTTTGCCCTTGTTTGATTTGGTAGGGGCCTGTGGCTAGTTCTGGCCAGTGAGCTGTAGGAAGTAAAGGGTTCTGCTTCCAGGTGGAGTAGTCAACTCTGAGTGTGGCCATGAGTGAGAGGTCAGAGAGCAACTCTGTGCAGTTGTTTCTCTCCTTCTTCGTTTTATGGGTTTTAGGGATCCAACTCAGGTTGCGAGGCTTGTGTGGTAAGTGCAACCTTGTCTGCTCTCACAACTGAAAATTTAACACCCTTCAAAGTATACTTTACCCTTTGGCAAGCAACCGGTGGCTGGGCGTGGGGCAGGGTGGAGGAAGAGAGTGCTGTAAAGGTGGCATCTGAGTGCCCTTGATGAGCAGAGCCCACCTTCCTTCTCCAGCAACAGAGAACAGTAGCACAAGGCAAAAATACATGTTGTTTAAACCACTGAAATTTTGGACAATTACAGCAACAGAGTCCAGCTTATCCTACTGGATAAGCAAACATACATCTAGCTGACCCTTAGAGTCTATTTAGTTCAGTATTTCTCTTCCCTGGAGCTTCACTGAGGCTTCAGTGAGGAAAGTGTTAGTTCCAAGGTTACACAGGCAGAATGATGGAGCTAGGCTGAGAACCAAGTCTCTGCTGTCTCAGACAGGCAGAGTATCTGCCACTAGGTGGGACCTGTCACGCTGAATTATCTCTGTGGACAAGACCATGTTAGGAAGAACAAAGAAAGAGGAGGGCTCAGAAGCCTGGTATTCCGGGCTAGATCCCGCCACAGAGCTCATCAGTCAGCCGTACTGCACCTCGGCAGCTGCCTGGCTTCTGAGGGAAGAGTGGGTTGCATGGGCAACACTCGGACCATCTTCCCTTCAACCAGAACAATTCTCTGATTCATTTGCTTTGCTTTCCTACGATTTCCCATCACAAGATCCGATGGCTGTCCGTGTTTCTGCCAGGTCTGATTCTTGGATTCTACCCAATTGCTTCCAAATTGTAAGTTCTGTAGCTGGGGAAAGCAGGACCTTAGTCTTATTTGTTGGGAAGTTCGAAAGTGTGGGTGAGAAACTAACATGAGGATGAAGCTGTTCTTCCTGAGAGTGTGGAGCGTCAGGGCGAAGGAGTGAGGACGGAAAAGGATGCTGTCTGTGAGAGGCGGCAGGACACCAGGCTGGCCGCCAACTCACAGAGATCCACCTGCCTCTGCCTCTCAAGTGCTTGGAAGTAAAGGTGTGCGTCACCACCACCACCCAGCTAGTTCACTCAAGACTTCATTTGGCTTCTGCTGAAAAGAAGCAGGGAGGCTGTCACCTTAAAAATAAAGGAGACTGTTTAATTCTCAGAAGCCACAGATGCTTGGGCCTCTCCCTCTCCATGTTCACGACAGGAAAGCTCTCTATTCTTGGTAAGACTAGAGCTGGATGTGAACTGAAATAGACAGTAACCAGCAAGGGTTGATCTAGCGACCCGTGCCTGCAATCCCAGCACTGGGGATTATTTTAAGGCTCTTCAGCCAGGCTGCAGACAACAGATCCCATATGCTAGAAAGAGAACAAGACAAGGGTCAGAGAGCCAGGTATGCTGTGCTCATTCCTACGTGGAATCTACTATATATAGTCTCTCTCTCTCTATATGGTATATATGCATTTGCTTCGGTCTTGATAATTTACTCTAAAAGTGCCAGTCTTGTATATAGTAAGATCACCTAAGAAGTGCTCTTGGTGTGGAACCTGAAGCAACTGACAAAAATGGAAGGTTATGGGCTGGAGAGATGGCTCAGCCAGCACCCATGTGGCAGCTAACGACTGTCTGAACTCTGGTTCCAGGGGATCTAATGTCCTCTTTTCCCCTCTTCTGGGCACTGCACACACATGATACATATACACAAAATAGTAGGAGATTAAATGACATATGGGGTACCCACAGCCTCCTCTCTCTACTACCTTGGTCTCGGATGCTTTCAGAAGCTTCATAACCTCTCCTTCCCGGGCATAATCCAAGGGTGTGTGTCCCATCTCATTCCTCTGAAGGGGGTTGGCTCCTGGCAAGAAAAAAGGATAAATGGTCAGGGGCTATACGAAAGATTCCTCAGCATTCACCTATAGGTGGCTCGGGAGTCTCAATTTCAGTATGAATCTCCATGAAAATTTATGAGATTACAGATTGACAGGATAAACATATTAAGTTACTTTGGAAGGAGAGATATGATGGAGGTCAGGAGACTAGGGGCTTCATACACAGGTACATGCAGCTAAGCATGCTAACAAAACTCAGCAAATACATTCATAGGTTTATACACCCAACACAAATGCCAACACATGCATTCACATATATACATATATGCGTTCATTAAAATGCTCACATTTTCCAATATAACTACACACCAAGGAACAATGATTCACTAAGCCATATAATGGGTTCCTTTCTAAAACAGAAGAGCCCAAATAGGAACTTAAAGGCTCTGCTTTGCTTCTTTTCTCCTTAATATCTTTTATTTTTTCTCTTTTGCGAGGTCTCCCTATGTATCCCTGGTGCTTGATTGTAGAGTAGGCTTCCCTCGAGCTCAAAGCCTCCCATCTCAGCCTCCTAAAGGGGGATTAGAGTGTGACTCACAAAACCCAGCTCTTCTCCGTCCTCCAGCCAGACTCAGCCAAGTCCTGGGGAGGATGTGGACATCTGAGGACTGTGCCCTGCCCTGCTAGCTGATGATGAGGGTTGCGTTCTGATGACTGGAGCACAAAGGTTAGCCCAGAGCCACGTGACTACCCTCTAGGTGCACAGAGCAGCAGTATATGGCGTGTACTTAGCAAGGCTTGAGATAACAAGGAAAGACTCCTCTCACTCTCCGTGCTGCCAGAAGCTTCTTCCCAACCCTAACTCTCTCTTTCTAACTCTGTCTGTTCCCAACCCTAACTCTGCACCCTCTTCCCGACACTAATCCTCTCTTCCCAACCCTAACCCTACTCTCTCTTCCCAATCCTGGCCCTAACCAATGCCAGCTATCCTGCTTCTGTTTTTGATTCTCAAGACAAGGTTTCTCTGTGTAATAGAAAGGCTGCCCCAGAGTTAGCTCAGTAGACCAGGATAGCCCCTGCCTCCCAAATGCCGGGATCAAAGGTGTGCGTGAGGCATGGCAGATTTTTTTATTGTTGTTTCTGTGCCAGCTACCTTGCAAACTCCGAAGGAATGGAGCTTGAGGACAGAAGTGGCCTTGCCTCATAGGCTTGCCTTCCAATACCACCAGAAAGAAGCCTAGCAGGCTTAGCTACGTGTGCACGTCACCTGCAGCATGCGGCAGTAACTACTCAGTAATCCCTGTGCTCCTTTCTTACTAGAGAAATGTACAGGAGTTAGGAGGAGTTTAGCCTAGTCGCTGCTGTAAGGACGTAATGAGGACCCACACAGCACAGGACCTTGCTCAGAGTGGGTATCTGATCACTGGGGATAGGAGCAAAAGCCAGTTTTCCTAAATCTGCCTGTGGGAACACTTATCTCATGCTTTGAAACCCTCCCCCATTGAAGTTCTGCTTCTTTAGAATCCACAACTTAGCAACAATGGTAAAATCACTAGGCTCTTGTATGTGGCTGTCTGAGTGGGAGGAGGAATGGCACAGGGAAGTTCCAAGTAAGAAAACAGTCAGACATGTACCTTTAATGCCAGCACTCGGGAGACAGGGACAGGAGGTCCAGGGCAGTCAAGGCTACACAGTGAGACATTATCTCAACAAAACAATCACAACTCCTCCATAAAAATGAAAAATAAGATCATTTCAATTAGGAATAAATACTAATATATATTTTATAATACACAGAATATGGAATTCAGATACCATAAAATTAGCCCCCCCTTTTTAAACAGTGCTGGGAGTAGAGCATCATACATGCTAGGCAAATGTTCTACTATTGAGCTACATTCCTAGTTTCCTAAAATGCTGATGCCTAGTACATGAAGAGACCAGGAGAAGGTGTCTGGTTCCTTGGAGCTGGCGTTAGGTACTCTGGAAGAGCCGCCAATGTTCCTAATTGCTGAGCCATCTCTCTGGCCACAAACCTATTGTTTAAAAGATAGCGTTTGGTGTTTAATCTCAAGTTGTGTGGCCATTACTACTATCTAATTTACCCATTCCAGGAAGAAACCCCATACCCATTACAGAACATCAACAACAAAACCAACCAACCAACCAAACAAAAACTCCACAATGGTTGACTTTCTCTTTTTATGGGTATTTTATATAAATGGAATTACATGACATGTGGCATTCAAAGTATGGTGATGTGGGATTCCCCTCTGTATGCTGTGAATATGTTTTTATTACCATTGGTTAATAAAGAAGCTGCTTTGGCCTATGACAGGGCAGAATATAGCAAGACAGTAAATCCAAGCAGAGATAGAGGAGGAAAAAAGGTGGAGTCAGGTAGACACCATGTAGCCACCCAAGAAGCAAGAGGTAACAAACCATGAGCCTTGTGGTAAAATATTAAATAACAGAAATGGGTTAATTTAAGATGTAAGAGTTAGTTAAGCCGGGCAGTGGTAGCGCATGCCTTTAAACTCAGCACTCTGGAGGCAGAGGCAGGCAGATCTCTGTGAGTTCAAGGTCAATTTGGTCTATAAGAGCTAGTTCCAGGACAGGCTCCAAAGTTACAGAGAAACCCTGTCTTGAAAAACAAACAAGCAAGCAAGCAAACAAACAAGACTGAACTAACAGGCCAAAGAGTATGTAATTAATAACTAAGCCTCAGAGTGGTTATTTCCTAAGTGGCTGCAGAAGCCGGTGTGCGGGACGTGGTAGGTGGAGAACCGGTCCCCGGGCCAGCAGAATGGAGAGTATTTGTAGCTAGGAAATGGCTTCTTTCACGGCACCTGTTTTTAATGTTCCCTCATGTGGTGGCATGGCTGAATACTATTCTGTGACATCACATTTTCTTATCTGCTAGCTGCACATATGAGCTATTCCCCCTTTGGCTGTTTGTAACTTGCTATTGCCTTTTGTTTTCCTGAGAGTCTTACGATATAGCCCAAGCAGACACCAAGTACCCACTCCCACTTCTCTCTCCAACTGGCCTTGAAGACCTAAGCTCACCCATTTCTCCTGCTTCATTCAAACCCCCAAATACTGGGATTCACTGTGGACACCACGTTGCCAAACTCAGTTGTACGCTTCCTGTCTTTTAGTACATGTCCTGGAGTGACAGGAACAGTCTACTGATCATTATTCATACTTGACTCTACTTCTTACATGGGTTTTTGTCTTTTAATGTTCAAAACCTTAAGGAATTAAAATCGCCAAGATACAGACAGGGAAACTGGCCTGAAGATCAACCATCACCACAGGCCTATTGTTTTGAGCCTGGAGTCCACTCTAGCCTAGTTAGTTTTCCTAACTCCGATTCTCCACACCCTCAGAGGTGTCTCAGGAGGGACCGTCCTACCTCACCACAGGCATTTACAGAGCCCAGGAAGGCTCCCCCACAGCCCAACTGAACGATCACGTGGTAACCAGCACTACTGTTTCTAGTCTTTTAGGAACTCAGAGGCTCAGACAGAGCCTTTCTTGGAAATGAGTTGGCGCTCACTGGGCACTCCAGCAGTTCCATCCGTGTGCAGGATGGGGACTGGCATGGCCAACGAGCAGTTCCTTCTTTATCTACTTCTGCTCGAATTGAAAGCAGCACTCTTAACCCGTGAGCTCTTTCCAGCCCTTCCCCTCATACTTTTGTTTTTTGTTTCAGAGGGAACTAGCCCACCCTATCCTTGAATTTGAAGGAGCTCCTCCTGCCTTGTTATCCTGAGTGCTGGGAATGTTTTTTGTTTTTTTTTTTTTTTTTTTTTTTTTTTTTTTTTTTTTTTTTTTTAAATCCTTCCTTACTGTTCTGTAGTAACAGGTAATCTGGCCATTGACTCCTTTGAGCTTTTTAAGAACTCTTTTCAAATCCTCCCCTCAATCCTGTGACCAGTCTTCCTGTCTCCTTTGCAGATGTCTTTTCCTATTTTTAGGAATAAGTCTCCTTTGAGTCTAGCACAAACTCAGCTCTCCAAGAGCTTATGGGGTCATGATAAGCTCATGACAGTAACACAGACTGAGACTGGCCACTGTGTGAAGGACAGGGTTAATTCTCTTGGCATGGCACTGAATGGGGTCCTGCAAGGTCCAAGGGGCCAGTGCCAGACAGTATCCTCCGCATCCCATAGCACAGCTGGGCCAGGAGTCTCAAAGGAGCAGTGGCGAGGGCTCTCCTTTCTCCGGTTCCAGGAGGGAGTTCTGCTCTTAGCTGTGCTCTGTGGAGAGGGATTAAATCTCTAGGAGGGAGAGGAGTGAGGGAAGGGAGGAGGCATGGGCAGAGGGGAGGAGGGAGGGAGAGGTGAGAGAAGGCAGTGGAAGAAAGAAGAGAGGGTGAGATTAGCTGCTTCAAACAAGTGCTGTCAGTGATCTATATTTGCTTACAGAATGAAAAATGTGTGCCATAAACATTGGCCACTGAGTAATTTCTAGCAGGAGTCGTGTCACTTCTCATAAAGCACGGGGTGGGGACAGGTAGGACATCTCTGCACCTGGGCCAGCCAGCACAGGGGCTTCCTTTTATAGCCGTGCTGGGCTTTGGATCCAGTCCAGAAGACTCTCAGGTCAGGCTACTCACTGGGGAAACCAGCCGGGTTCTCCAAGGTTCTGGAGCCTAAGGGCGGCACATCTGCCCCACTTTAGGAAGGCTGAGGCGGGGCACCTGGATAATGTCCATCCAATATTGCTCCCCCAGACTCATACCCTCCCTCTGACTTGACTAATTGCTCTAATAATTGATAGAACCTGACTTCTACCACTGATCGATTTCACCTTCACGACCAATGGCCACAAACCATTACACTCCAATAAATAACCACGCTGGGCCTCACCCGGCTGCCCTCTCCGGGGGCATCAGGATAGCCTGTGCCCTGGCCTGACCTCCCCTTGCCTCCCACCCAGGGCCCCTCCAGGCCAAGCAGCTGGTCTTGAGGGCCAGGCCTCTGGGAGCAAGTGATAGAGCTGGGAGGAGGTGGGAGCACTAATCGCAGGCCATCCGTCACCTCCCACTGGCTGTCTGGGGCTGGGGCAAACACCTGGAGCACCCTAGGCAGTGTGGTGCAGGACCCCTCCTTCCTCTCCTGCTCCAGATTAGTTGTCCCAGCTTATAATATTTGATAAATAGCAGTCTGGCTTCCTGGCAGCGCGGCTGCGGCTGCGCCTGCCCGCTACAGCTGTGGAAGGTCACTCATTGGGGAAATATGTTTCTGTCAGTGGTATTGAAAAAAGTTTAGTGGAGTGACAGGCCTCAATTTTTCAAATTTTATTAACTCCATCCTCTTAACCATTTGTCTTGAATTCCTTCAGATTCTGGGGGATCTGTCAATAAGGATCGGGCCCAGAAAGTAGGGTAGGGGTGGTTGGGTGTGCAAGAAGGAACTGGTGCTGGTTGGTGTTGCTGTGGCTGGCTGAAGATCTCCTTACCCAGGAAGGTTAAGGGAGTGGAAGGGGTGTTGGTGAGAGAGGCCTGGCTCACTGGTGCCTAGGGAGCCTGCTGCTCTTCTGAGGTCAGCATCTGCTTTTGATTTGACATAATCACTATGCTCCAGGTGGGAAAGCACCCTCATAAGAGCTCACTTCTCTCTACTGCGTCGGGAATAGGTGCTCCCCTGGCTCCACTGACTCCATCTTTGAAGACTGAACCTGTCTTCTTCAGGAAGGCCTCCTTACTCCCTCCCACAGACTGTTTGGAACTGGAGAAGAACTCAGCAAAGGTTGGCTACCATCGTCTATACCACCATAGCGTTCTGCCTGTCTTCCTGCGAGAACTGCACACTATGCACGGTCACTGTTGCTGGACACCAGCGCAGGGCCAGCACACGCTTCTTCCTGTTTGTCGGAGAAGACTGTCTTCTCCTCGGGAGCTATCTTTTGAGGCTGAGAGAACACGACAGTTGTTCTGTCTGCTGGGAAAGCCTTCCTGACAGCAACTCTGTGATCATGCCCTTGTTCCTGTAAGGGAGAGCCAGACTCTTTGCTGCTCCCAGACGCCTCTCCATCTGAGAGGAGCTGGGGGCAGGTGGGTGGGGAGTACCAGCTGCTGGCTGAGCGCTTCTCTGCTGCTCTGGTGCTGACTGCTGGCCCATCCACCTCTATGGGTTTTCTGAAGTTTGAACATGGCTGAAGTAAGATTATAGCGACCTCTGTAAAGGCTTTGTCATCCACTCCTTTTCAAATCTACCTTCGCTTCCCTGATCCCTTCATCCTGACTTTCGTGATTCTAGCAGTCTCTTTCCTATCCCCAGCGAGAGGTTTTGGTGGGTATTAGAGATGTCCTCCATGATAAGAGGTTCCAGGCAGACTGGTATTTTGGAAATAAGCTCCCTATCAAGGAAGCTCTCGAAAAGATGGCTGGACAAGCGTCTGTGAAAAGCCTTCCCTGTCACCACATTCTCTGTCATGCTATCTGTGTAGTTCCTTCATTCAGTCCTTGTCCCCTCTGGGTCCTTGTTCTTCTTATTCCCTTTTCGGGTCATGGCCTGCCACAAGCTGGTTACCACAGTCAGTCCCCGTACCTTGGAGGCCAGACCCTGACCAGCTCTCTCTGTGTCCTCAGAGGCAGACATCTAAGAGGCTGGCGAGAGTGACGAGGGAAGCGCAGTGGAGGAGCGAGAGAGCCCCTCCTCCTGAGGACCAGGGTTCCACACGTACACAATCAGACATACTCAGCTAACAACAGGTAGAAGGCATGCAGCCCAGGCTGCATCTTCTGCTGACTACACCCATGAATTTAATCCTTGCCATTGGTGAAGGAAGCAGGGGAGTCCTCCCCACCCCACTTTGTTACAGATTGCCTGGGTCTGGTGGAAGAGTAAGAACAGGGACACACACTAACACTTGCTGGGTAAACAGTCTTTACATACTGTGCCTGAATAATTCATACACGAAGAGAAAACAGGCTCAGAGTTGAAATAATTTGCCCCGTGGTCATACAGCAGGCAAACAGTGAAGCTAAGATTTAAAACAGGGGTTCATTTCTCTTTCATAAATGTTTGAAATGTTACATTTTTTAAAAAAGAAGATAGCTCTACTACCCCCACCCCACCTCAAAGTGCCACCAAAGGCCTGACGACTCCCTTCCAAAGTGCTGAGATGCTTTGGGGCCAAGCAAGACAGAGGAGTTCCTTCTCATCATGGGCTGAGGACAGACATCTCTGTAGAAAGGATACGGCAAAGCATTTCTTCTCTTCCTATTCAGGGTTCCCAGTCTGGGGCAAAGGAAACTGTGAGCTACAGTAACTCAACTTCCTGGACAGCACCCAGAAACCTTTCCCATGATCCACAGCCTTCAGGAATCTGGGGGACAGAAAGCTATCTACCTCCTCATGGCCTCAATCAGACATAGTCCCACAGCACAAAAAGGCAAGAACTGCCACACAGTGGAAGCAGCAGGTCCAGACTGGAGGGAGACAGACGCTGTGGATGGAGGAGTGAGGGGCTGGACTGCCCCCCTCCCCTCATGCACCATGGGTCTGGGGAGCTGGGACCAAAGCTGAGAGGAACAGAAGACAAACAACGTGTGGGCTCAGCAGGTAAAGATATCGGCCACCAAGTCTGATTACCTGAGTTCGAGCCCAGGGACTTATATAAGGGAGAGAACCCACTCCACAAGCTGTCCTGTCCTTCACATGCGTGCTGTGCACACGTGCACTGCAGATAAATAACCGCAGTGAAACAGACAGCCTTCTGGCCATTTCCTCCGTCATCTCACCATGAACTTTCCACACATTGCCTCATCTCTGGAACCAAACGTATGCGTCAAGGGGGCTTTGTGAACCTCTAGAAGAAGTGGGGTGACTGCTGGCAACTGATGGTCTCTATTAATCATACGAGACTAGCCTCTTCTCCTGTATCAGGATTACCTGTGAGCTTGGCCAGGTAGTGAGGGCAAAGGGGGACTTCATCAGACATTTGGTGGGATGTCTCAGGAAAACCCTGTGGTCACATGAGGACACTGGATGCCAGCAACACATGGAATGCCAGTCAGTGGCTGACGGACAACCAGACCCCAGGGGGAAGGGTAAAAGACAGACCAGAGACGTTTCCAGCGGCAGTAAGTGGGTTTAGCTGTGTCCAGCATGTTTATTTCTCATCTGGATATCAAGGGGTGGGCTACTCATTAAATCCGTAGATGTGATAAGGGTGGAAGGGTACATAATACACCTGACAGAAGACTGACAGTAAGGGGTGAAGTGTCAATGAGGAGTCATAGGTTTTGGAACAGAGACAATGTAGAGAGATTGTTCTGGGAACTACAATGGGTGTAGAAAAGGGTTTAGAGCCATATGAGAAAAATAGCTCAGGGAACCAACTAGTTGGTGGTTTGGACTGGAGAGAAAAAAAAAGTTCAGGAGACCAGGCCTGCTACCATGTAGAACTGGGAGGTTAATAATAAGACTCCTGGATGCATCCCATGGCTGGCTTGCTAAGCATCAGAAAGTCTAAGGTAGACTACGGCAAAGTTAAGTTCCCCAGCAGCAGAAGTGCTCACGTATTGAATGGGTAGCTACTTGGTAAGTGTACTACTGAAATGTCATTTAGTTTGTTTTTAAGATTTATTCTTATTTTATATGAATGAGTATTTTGTTTGCATGTACGTCTATGCACTACTTGTGTGCCTGGTGCCTATGAAAGTGCGAAGAGGATGTCAGGTCCTCCGGAAATGGAGCTGCAGACGGTGGTGAGCACCATGTGGTCCTCTGCAAGAGCAGCAAGTGATCCTAACCACTGAGTCATCTTTCCGTATTAGCTGCTAATTATCTCTTCACGTGTCCATTCAAAGATACCGAGAGTCCTTTATGCATCTCTCAGCGTGCTAGGTATGAGGAAGACAGAGGCGAGGAAGAAGATGCTGTCTCTCCTCCTAGGGAAATCCTGATCCTGACTGCAAGACTAATACAAGGAAGTCTAGCTTCAGTTCAGATGAAGTCAGAGTTCTGGTGGAAATCCTCACACATTTGGCTGCCAAATCCCCCAAGCAGACTGTCTGTGGGACAGAAGCACACAGTGAAGCAGAGCTTGTGAATCTTTGTGCTTGATGTTTTGCTCTTACAGCTTGAGTTGTGGTCTTTGGTTTATGTACCCACAGCTTGTCTTACAAGTGGCTGTGGTGTCAGGGTGAAGTGATTTAGCCAGCAGGGCTACCAACTCTCCATTTCTTACCCACCCTGTGGGGACTGCTTCAGCACAGACATAAACATGCTTCTGCCGTTACCTTATTGCACTCGTCACATGGGGAGGCTAGAAGGCTTGATTCAGGGATATGATTGGATTTTAAATCCCAGTCTCACAGGATTTTAATTACTGGTCTGGGGCAGCAGGGATAGGCGCTGGCTGCCTTTGGATGGAGGAGGTCGATACACCAGTCCACAACATATTGAGCCACAATGCCTGCAGACTCTATTGCTCTATTTAATCATCTTTTGCAAAATTTACAGTGGAACAGGAGGGATCAATACGGAATTTATCACATTCTCTTGTAAATATGAGCCAGGAAAGAGTTCCAGGCAGTTTGTTACTGAGTGGGAGGGAACATGTCTGTGTACAGCTGGGCATTAGGAGATGAGACAAAATCCATACTTCTTGGCATAAGCTACTCAGCCAAGTTCAATGGGAGGAACACTGATCCAGTCAAACAACCAATCATCCAAGCAACATTCCAGAACCCACTTTACCCTGTAGTGCTGACTGTGGAACATGGCATGTAAGAACATAATAAAAATATAACACAATGATCCTGCCACTTACGAGGTGAACCTATGCAAGTTCCCAAACAGTCTGGGACCCTTCTTACACACATGGGAAATGTAAGAGTCTATTCCGTGGTTAGCTAATTGTCAGGTAGTGAGATTACAATGAGTGACAGCTACTGCCATGTTTCCTCTAACTGCCTTCCTCCATCAGGTACCGTCTGTGAATAGGTGTGGATCTGGGTGGTGAGCAGGGAGCTGCCTACCTTACTTCCACAGCAGACAGAAGGGGGACTGGGTGCTCTTCCTTCACTAATAACCTGACAGGGCTACTAGTGGCAGAAGCTGTGGCGCCAAGAGAAGATGAACAGGGATCTCTTTTCCAGATCTTTAAAACCTGTACCTTTTTAAGCTTTCTCAAACTGCTGTGGGGGAAGAGGGTGAGAACTGAGTCTCCTTGTGTAAGCGCACCAGGGAATGTCGGAAAGACATGTAAGGAGCGGCCTCCAGAAGCTGGGCAGACATGGACAGCTGGAGAAGTAGGGAAGGGTTTCCCATAGGGACGACTGCCAGGGCATGAGCGGTCCAGCAGGCCTTTGACAGCTCCTGCCTATTTCCCAGACATCCTGCTGTGGGCCTAGCAGGTACTGGCCCCAGGGATGCCGGGCTGGACATCTGGATTGACCTTGGAGGTACTGGAAACTGCTGAAGGTTTTAGAGCAGAAGAACAAACAGTTCTGCAGGGCGGAGGCTGGGGATCCTAGAGGAAGGGAGGGCGACAACGAGGCTGCTCTAGAGCTGTAGGCTCTCTAGAGCCCCAGCTGAGGGAAAGTAATGGGGCTTGTTAAACACGGAGGCAGAAGGCACCAGACTGACTAACCATGCCTTCTTGTTGAAGGTGGCAGATGGTGACAATGCCGTTCACCAAGCATGGTGAGCAGAAGACAGTGGGAAGAGGGCGGGTTTGGAGACACCACATGAGTTGCTTACAGAATATTAACATCAACAGAGCTACTGGCAACATG